CCAAAACCAAACCCACACCCCCACCAATACTGGCAGGGCATGCCGCTGTATATAAACAGAGAGCAAACCCCACTCCCTTCTAGCACTGAAGAGGTTACCTAGCCGGGTAACGAAATGTTGGCAAGAAAACAGCCAAGCCCAGAGAACCCCAAGGACTCCGCAGTTTTACTATTATGTTTAATTATATATACCATAACCTGTATATCAGCTGGGTAGAGTTTTTCTAAGACAATAAAGTAAAAATAAATAATACATCTCTAAAAGAGGTGAATGGCTGGGGAAAAAGACAAATGGGATGTTTTGTTTTCTTTTCTTTTAAATGGAGGTACTTTTTGTATGTCTGTGTGTGTTTGTCCAGAGGATTCACTCACTTATTTTGTGAATTTAAGTATATAATTCTCTGCACAGGAAATGGCTCCTTTCAGTCTTTGTCTCTTTTTCTTTAGGACATAGGAAGCGTCTTGGAGAAGTAAGTGAATCCACCCTCTTTCTTCTTTATGACCCCAGAGATTGGCAGCTCCTCCTGCTGGGTCCCATTTTGGAAAGCTCTGCTTGTATTTATTGGCAGTTCACCTTAAATATAACTTATTTCAGGGCTCTGTAGATATTTTCTCAGACTACTTGAACCGAACATAACCCAAACAATATTTGACACAATCAATTATTATTATTAATTATAAGAAACACCCTCTGATACTAAAATATTATATTTGTTTCCAGGATTTCTCACTCATTTTCATTATCAAAATAATTTATCATTTTTCCATCTATCTCATTTTTAGTGAAAAACCATTTTCTATAAGGAAGTATTTTGTACTTCTTTTTTCTAAAAAAATCATAATTTAATCCTTTCTGCAGTTTCAATCCTCTCCAAGTTGTCCGGAATTGAATGGCATGCATCTCCTTAAAATCTTGCAATTGGAAAGGGCCACGGAGGCCGCGAGATCCAACCCCTGATCTTTTGCAGGAGTCCAAAGTAAACCTTCCATGGCAGGGGGCTGTCCCGCCTCTGCTTGAACCCATCTTACAAAGGGGATTCCCACCTCTCTGGGTATCTAGACGGTCAAGGCAGATCAACCATGATCTGTCTCAATGCAGCACTGAGCCCTGGGGAGAGGCTTATCTAGGTGGACTGACCACTTTGCTTTGCAAACAGGAGCTTCTCCATTTGCCATGCAAGTGAGGCAAAGCGGGAAGATCCTCCATGGATTAAGAGCTGGGTGCTGGTTCACAACATTATACTGGAGAGACAGTTTGCTCAAATCTGATGAAGCGAAGCAGGAGGCTCCCCTCCAGAGACATGAACAACCTATTGTTGGTTCTGCAGTCAACATCCCCTGTGAGTCTTCTCTGCTCAAGGCTAAACATTTATTGTCGGTCCCTCTTCAAAGGACTGAATTTCCAGCCAACTTGGTTGCCATTCTCTGAGCCTCCTCAAAAATTCTTTTTAAAATGTGCTGCATGAAACTCGACCCTTTAGCACAGAACAACGTAGCACTAACCCTGATTTGGAAACTTTGCCTCTGTTCATGTACCTTTTCTGGTAGATCACGGTGTGGATTCATATTTAACTTCAGTTTGTATTTGGCCAACCTTGCAACTAGTAATTGCATTTTTCTCTATTAAATTTCATTGAATTACTTCTAGTCAATCAAGATTAATCTGAATGTTACATCTGTCTTCTAGACTATTACCTCCTCACACAATTTAGCTTTTTTCAAATTTGATAAGACCCAATCCACCCATTTGCCCAAGCGATTCAGAAGAATTTTAGAGGGCCCAGGACTCATTTAGGTTCCTCTCTTAGCTTGGGGAGGATGGATGCGTGCAGTTTTGATCCAGCTATGGATCCACAGGGTTGCCATGGTGCCCAGCCCTATTTAATTAGCTAGTCAATCCTCAAGCACAATCTGATGTTTTAGAAAGCTTCTTCTATTGACAGGATGATAAAGAACATTGTTTCGCTCTACCAGGTATCAGGCAAAAAAGCCATCAAAGATTCCAGTGGCTTTTCCTCTAGAGCTGAAGTGGAGAATCTGGGATTACAGTGACATCAGTGTGTTTCTGAAAGGCATCATGAAACAATTCAGAGGTAACAAAAAACAGCCGTGGGGGTTTTACGCTGGATGAAATGTTGATCCCAGAACATCAAAGGGAGATTCTCTGTTAGTGTCAGGAGGGATCAAAGAGGGATAGATTTCAGGCTCAGTGGAAGAAACACCTTCATTTCTCCGTAGAAAGGGCTCTGCATCTTGAGCACAAGGAGGGATAACAGGAGCTTTCTGATTTCTGTCATTAAAGATGTTCAGGCTAAAAAAAGGAACTGCTATCTCCGTAGAAAGGGCTCTGCATCTTGAGCACAAGGAGGGATAACAGGAGCTTTCTGATTTCTGTCATTAAAGATGTTCAGGCTAAAAAAAGGAACTGCTATCTAGTCAAGGCTGACTTTCTTCCTTTCCCAACACCACATGCACTGATCACCAGGGAAGCAGAATAGGCCTTATCTTTGGTAGCCAGTTAGAGTTTGGAGTTGTATTTTGATTAAAAAAAACCACTGAGGACATTATGGCATTTAGCTTTCCTTATTCCCTGATCTGAGGCCAGGGAAAGCAAAGAAGACTCTATCTGTAGGGAGGCCCTGCTGTTGATCCAGTTCCAATGATGAGATGCTGAATCTCTCCCTTTTCTTCCCCAGATAATCTGGAATTTGGACTTCAACTGCAGAAAGGTAAATATGAGTTTTAAGAATCTCTGTCACTTGCTATTTGAAACTCTTATCCCCATAACCTTAATAGAAAAATCATATAGGATCAGACACCTTAAAGCTACGAAGATCCAGTAAGGGTATTCCAGAAAACTGAAATCAGACTCAGCTTAGAATGAACTATCTGGACAATGGGGAAAAATTGGTACTGAAACGAGCATAGAATTCCTCTTGTTTTTGAGCAATAATGAATGCGAGAATCCTTCCAAGAGGGAAGAATCCCAAGGTGGTGGCCCCAGCTTTTTCATCTTTGGCAGCCTTTGACTCCATTCCAGCTCCTCCACATTGGTGGGTGTGATCGAGAAGAGGCTGCCATTGGGAGCACCTTCTTGACTTCCCTCCAATATTATGGCTGAGCTGTGCTGCTTCCTGTTGCCCTGGAGCGGGATACCCTTTTCCTAAGGCA